CGTAATGTGTGTATTATGTTTTACAGCTTTGTGCGAGCATTCGCAACGGAGTGTGTTTGGGAGTACCGGTGTGTGAGTGGGACAGTGTGTCGATTGGACACGGCAACTCTCTTTACGAATTAATCTGTCCTGCCATCCTCCCCTCCCTGGGAAATGGATGTAAGCGAAAGCTTAAGAGACTAATTCATCAATAAATCACACAGGAAATTATAGGTGTTTGCATTGCCTGGGACAGTAGAGAAGCTTTCATGTAACGCAAAAAAAAAAATCTGCGCTCACGTCCTGCAGATGCTGGATGAGGTGAAACAACTCAGAGTAATTTATATAAAACCTTACAGGCAGTGAAGAATAGTTAGCAGAGCTGATCAACTTTCACTTACTCCTCGACTCGGCCTTCACCCACCTCAGGTTATTGTCTACTAGTAAATACTAATTAAACTTTGTTATAAAAGAAACTCCAAAGAGTTGCCTGGCGCCCTAATAGCCTGGCCATTAGCTGATTGCTATTTTAAAAAGATTTTAAATTACTCAAAAATCAACAATAAAAGAACCCAAGGCTGTGAAATTCTAAAACCTATTCAGAAACTCAGTGTGTTGCACTTTTATAGACTTATAAAGATTGTCTGAAAGTTCTTTGGATCAGAAGTCCAGTGGCGACTTTTCCACATCATTGAGCTATTCTGAGAAATCTCTACATTCAATTCAAGGGCAATTTTTGTTTTTAATCTTTTATTTTCAAGTAATAGATTTGAAATGTACTCTTTTTTACTTAGCTGCTTCCCTGTAAAAGAGTATAATATGCTCTTTATAATATACGATATGTATATATAGTATAAAGTCATAACGCATAACATATTGTACATTTTAATTAAATGATTAGTTTCAATATTAATCAATGGTCATAAAATAATGTCGGCAACCATGTGCTCATCTGAATCAGTGGTAAAGTCCTCACTCAAAGTAGACCTCTGTGGTCAATGGGAAAAAAAGAAAAGTATGATGTAGGGTCAAAACATTTAATTAATTAGAATCTAATAAAAGCTGTTTACAGAGTGGATGCTTTAATAAATATGTCTGGCAGTGAACTTTTACTGGTTACTGAATGTTGACAGGTGATCAATCAAAATATGTTATCTTGATTGTAGCAGTAACTTGTGGCAGTGATTCATGTCTTTCTGACCTGATACATTCTGCCAAAGATTTCCAATGGTATGAAAAAGCAAATATCTACAGGCAATGCCACATGGATTCCAATCTTGCAAAGTATGCTAACACTTTGAAAAGAATGTGTTGGTCTAAACATGAGATTTAAAGTCCTGTGATGTTTTTTGAGTTATGTGACTTTTTGTTTGTTCTGAATAGCAAAGGCATACTGACATCAACAGGGTCAGCATATTGATACAGGGTCAGTCGATTCTTGTATCGAAGTATCGACTCACCATCTGGGAATGAGAGTTTGATGTTCCACAAGGGATGACATTAATCCGACTTTCACTTTACAGCACTAAGAACTTTACTGTTAATTCAGACTAGCACATAAGATCACCTGTTTAACATTTTCTTATAATATTAAACTACATTATTAAATCAGGTTTGAATTTCTACTCATATTGTGTTGACCAGCAATCTTATCAATATATTTGTAATTCACATTACACCCCTAAAACAAGGGTATCCACTGCATTAGGACTTTGGCCCATCAATCGTCAGAAGGTTAGTAAATATGCCAGAGAAGGTCCTAAATAGGATAGCTAACACACACACACGCAAGCATGCATACGCATACAGAGACTTGCATCTTCAAACTTCCTTTCTATCCCCTGCGGAGAGTTCTTTTTACCACTGACTTTCATTTTTATTAGAGCACTTGGCATCTGATTAGTTCCCATTTGGGGTGTTAATTAGCTGAGAAGCTCTGCTCTAACTATCGACACAACGAATAAGGCCAAGGCCACACAGAGACTGGACCATCAGGTTTTCTTGGAGAGCAGCTGTGAGGTTCTAAACTGTAAAAGGTACGCATTTTTCCTGATTTGATCTAAACACGAGCATTAAAATAAAGCAATAGAAATGCAAAAATGTTGCTAAATTCAAGTTGTCTCGCATCACTTTACAAGCATACCACTTGATTCACAACTGTCTAAACTTGAGTTTGCGTCCTTTCTATTACACAGAAAAAAAACATCACTTGTGTTTTTGTTTGTTTGTTTGATTGATTTTACTAGGAACATTTATTCTTTTTTATTTTATTGCTTCTACTATCTCTGAAAATATGAGGGCCATGACCCAAAGTAACTGAGGTAAAGTTCTGAAATCCTTTAAAGAGCAATTAGTGTGGCTCTAGATCGATTTCTATCCCCCCTGGAACCTGTTCATTGCCATTTTCTCCATAACTTTAAAACCAAACAATTCACATCCATGTACTTCAAGAATGATCTACAAGTTACTGTTTTGTTCTGTGAAATTTGATATTTTCATGAATTATAAACAACAATAGTCATAACATGCTAAAATAACACCTCTAACACATCTGCATTTGCAAGAGGACCGAATGTGTTGACAGTGGTGAGAATCTGGAACTATTTTTGTTAAAGGTTGGGCTCATGAAAACACCAAACCTGTTCTGCTGGCAAGGAAGCCCACCCACACCCTCTCACCCTACCCGACAAAGGTATTTCTAAAAAAAAAAAAAAAAGCTGGTAGACAATGTATATAACAGTGTCAATGTTGGTGCAAAAAACAACAAAAAAACATTATTGATGACACCCATCCATTCAAACTGTTTTATCCACACAATCTCTTGAAATCCACTTGACTTTTTGTGGCACATCTGTTTGATCATAGATCCTTTTTTAGCACCAACACTCACTGTAGCAGCGGCTCGTGTTGCCATGGCAATTAACAAGATGTGTGAATATCAAAGTCACGGAGACAAGAGGCTTATGACTTTCACAAAGAGAGATCATTCAACTGACAAATGGATTCATTAAAGCATGGGGTTAGTTATTCCCTGAAAACTAAGGTTGTATTATCTCCCCTGATCAAAAGCAAACAAAGCTTCCCTGCCAACAGACTTTGCTATACTTGATTATGTGCCATATTACTCCCAAAAAGGTTTATCATACCATTAATCTTTATTTCTACAGAACCATCATGTGCTTGACTGTGTCTGTTGCTGTTTGGCTGTTGTGGAAGCCAAATTGGGGAGTATCAGAATAATATGTTTTGATCATCATGCGTCTAAGTACCTATAGAAGTCAGTTTTGTTTAACTTTAGGACTCCTATGTGGTCCACTACATCCCAATATAGTTTTCCAAACATCTGCTGAGCACAAAAAAACATTGTGGAACCTAGGAGCACCTTAATTACTCTCATTTATTAATTTAATTGCCCATACCTACACAGGGCTGTGCATTTAGTGTATCTAAATCCCAGCGTTTCCACTACTTCCCTTGATTATTCTAAAATAGAGAACAGTGTGCATGCATGTTGGTAATTTACTCGTCCTGACAGACTGCATATGTATCCAGGAGGTATTCCTCCAAAACACATTTCTTGTGACAAACACAAGTATGAATTACATCAAAAGGTTCCTTGGTTCGAATCCTGGTCCGGGGTCTTTCTGCATGGATGGATGGATGGATGGATGCATGGATGGATGGCTGGATGGATGGATCTTTAAATCTAACTAAATGAATGGATTGACCTCCTAGGAGGGTCAACCTGATTTCTGAAGTGATTTGTTTTTTTTTCTAATTCTAATATCCAAGTCAATTTAAAAAGCTAAATCTAGACAATCTAAGCAACAAAATGTCCTGATGCTTTATTCAATATATATTTTTGGACTGCTGCATTGACTTGAGAAAAATGTGTAAAAAAAAAAAAAAGAGAGAGAAAAAGACATCTTAATAGTGACATTATAATGTTAGCAAGCAGCAGGAGATCAGAGCAGATAAAACGGTAGGTGAACCAGGATATGTTAAGGAATTTGTGCATATGAGTGAGTGTATGTATGAGCCATATGCCTTTGCATGTGTGTTTAATAGGCTCTGATTTTTCTCCTTTTGGCTTCGCTGAAAGTATAAGCAGAGAGCACATTGAATAATGAGGCTATTACAACCACAACAGAATGAAGAGCATTGCCTGCTCTTATTCAATAATGTGTGTGCATGCCTGAATCAACAGTAGCGTGTGTGTATTGTGTGTGATCCTCCTAGTCAATATGCTTGATGGACCTTTGCTCCATATTTTCTCCTTATGATACACTCCTCCTGGAGCATCACAAGTAATTCAATATTTGGTTCACAGAACGAGTCCTGAGGAGAATTGGTAGACTTGACTCGAACATGCCTCTGTGTGTTTGCATGTGCAAATATTTGTCTATTAAAAAAGAAAAAAGAAAAACATAAATACAAAGATGCATTTGTGAGAAATGTTGCAATATTCTTTTTAGACTCCACCCATCTGGAAACACATTTACTTAAACTCAAAATGGTGCTTTGGTAAATCATACCCTCTAGTATCTCAAGGTATCGCAACAATGCTCATCTGTGTTTCAATGTTAAGTCCTGCAGAAATAGAGCTGGAGTACATTTGGTGTCTTTAAAGAGGGGGCATACAGTGTATCGTTTTAGCTAGAAATTGACTGCTAACATTCAGAGGTCTGCAGGGTTAGGACCATGCCATGTGATCATCAGATATTCCTTCCTGACGAGGAATACAATTTACCTTGCAGACATCTGGAACTTAGTGTAGGCCTTTCATAAATCCATAACAAAGCTTTTGCATTAGTTCACTCTTTCCCAAACAGTTTTCCATGTTGTCACTTATCCCAACATGGGAAACTGTATTGTGCATATTTCTTAGTGCATTTTTGCAATGTTAAAAAGAGAAATTCCTAAGACATATTTCAACTTTTTCTTCCTCTACCAAATTGGCAACAATATCTGATGCATTTACCAAATTCCCTTGCGCTATAAAAGTGTTCTCTTTTACTATCCAATGAAAAATAATAATTTGTTAACCACATGGACAATAATTAATGGACACAATGTAAAAATGGTGGCTTCATTTTCCAGCGTCCGCCTACGTTTCTACTGAGTATGAAATCTATCACCTGTATTTTAGTTGTTAGTCATCTGGAAAAAAAAAAAAGAAAAGAACTCCAGATTATGATGAGCTGAAAGCAAAAAAGCCAAGAAGAAAGCTTTGACCTTGTTACCCCCTTCAGCCTCTGTAATGACTCCTCTGTGATCAAGTACTGTGTAAAGACACCAACACCCCCAAAGCCAGCGATAGGCTTTACATCTGTCCCAGTTCGACTGTGAGCAAGCAGCATGCGAAGACAGTGAGAGAGAAATTCCATCTCAAAGGCAATTTATTCTGACAGGGTTGGAGCTGTTTAATTAAGATCTTCTGAACTTTATGTGACCAATTTAAAAGTGCTATTGCACTTGCAAGCAGTGCAAACTTTGTAGAGGTTGGTGGGTGGATGTGGGCGAAAGGGCTTAACATCCCTGATTGGATCTGAAAGAAACAAAAAAAATGGAGGGTGGGGAACAGCTGGAATGACATTGGGGTTGTTGGTAATTATTTCATATATTTTATAATGTATTTGTACTTTTTGAGCACCAAAACGTTTGACAAATATGATTCCAATTACGCCAGAATTAGAATATAGCAATTCTCATCCGCATAAGTTAAAGCTCCTGCTGGCATAACTACAGCATCTAACTGAAACTGCTCAACATTAAGAGTATTCAAATAGCCCAAGTAGCCGTCTGAAGTAAGTAAAAAAAATAACTTTTCCATTTGCTGTATAAAAATATTGTAGTGGAGTTAATAAGGCATTCAGAGTGTTCAAGATACATGGATGCCAACAGAGCAGAAATTGCAACCAGAATTTTAGCTTTTGGAAATAGTTTCCTAACAAGTGTAATTTGCCACTGTGCTGGTTACAGACAGACTGAGCTCTTGACAGGATTTTCAATCCCTCCATGTGGTGCCGGTTTGCTAGGTCTCCAAATTACTGCACTAAGGCAACATTTATCCTAGTTTCTTCTTCCCCACAAGGCAATAAAAATTGTGACATAATTTATATGTCATAATTTATAGGTCACAACGCAAGGTTTATGTGAGGTCATCCCTCTTTGGTCAGTAATAGCTGACTTCTTTACTCACAATTATTTATCATAATTCAGACGAGTCCTCATTTAATTATTTAGCATTTAATTTACAATCCCAAAAAAATGCAAAACACCTATATTATTTTTCACATTGATCATATGTAATATTTACCCCAATAGAATTATAAATAGGTTTAGTGTTTAGTGTTTGAATTAATCAAACAAAGGGGTTTTTAGTCTTTGGAAAAAATAAGTCAACACCTGTTTATTCTTGCCTTCATGTTGTCCACTCCTTCAATGCACTCAGCAGAGTTTGGATGGTTTTCTACTTCTCACTCTAAGCTGGACAACTTTCAAAAACATTGGGAAACTATTGCCTGAGTCAATATTTGTTCTCAATTCTCAATTCTAGATGTGCCCTAAACTTCTGAATGAATGGGACAGGAAGTGTTTTGTGATATTTTCAGCCAGAAGCATCCTTGCACTGACAGTTGGCTTGTCAGTGAGAAAACGATGGAGGTACTTTATGTCTGTTTGCTCTGAAATGATTCAAAGTCGTTAAACATGGTGTTTCATTGAAAAGACATCCATGGCTCATAGATTGCTATGAGCCAGTAATGGCCAATAATCTACAAACATCACTGGCTAATTTTCAACTGCATCATTTCACAATAACTTATACGCAGCAACAGCAATAAACATTTAAGACTCAAATTTCAGACCAGGAGTACAAGTCAGGTTTTTAGTCTTTGGGACGCAAGCCTAAGTGTAGTCTGAAGTTTTTTTTTATTTCCGCAACTTAAGAGTGACTCAAGTTAGCAACTCTAACTCGACATATTTTTATCCTATTGTCACTTTTTGTTTTTCATTTTCCCAGACACATTTGGTCCTAAAACTGAATATGCAGCCATCCTGAATCACAAGTTTGAGCACAACTGAGAAGGAAAATGTATAACAATCACTACACTTACCCTCTAACACCCAAATATCATGCGGTTCATTTGTATTAAATATTATTAAACCCACATTTACTCGTTTGCAAATTGCGTAACTTTACAAACATCAGAAGTGACTTAATTTTTCAAACTACCTGACATTAAGCTTAGTGAATAGTAGGAAGGTCCACTGGCCACAGAGCACTGTTAATGGGAACACAAACCATCAGGCAACTGTCACTGGTCCAAAAAGTCATTTTCAAAACAGCATTAGAAACAAACACAATACCTTATTTAAGAAAATACTAGGAAACAAAGAAATAGCCCATAGAGAATATATGATATGTCCAGATTTGATGACAGTCCAATAACAATTAAACATTGTGAATAGGCTAGAAACATTGTCTAAATGAGAGTCCATCACACTGACTGCCTTTGTTCTCTATAGGACTGTTAGGGAATCCGTTAAACTACAATGGAAGTCACATTAAAGTAGTTAACTTTACATGAAGATCCAAATGATCTGTGAATGTACAGAAGAGCACATGAACTCCAAATTAACAGCACATCTAAAGCCATGCAGTAATGAAATCGAGGGAAGACATAACACTTAATTATGAATAAATGATCAGCATATAAATGAATTATGAACCTTACATTTGAAAGGGAGTTTCACATTAAGAAACAATCATACTGATCCGTCTGCATTTCTAATACCAGCTGAGTCAAAGGGGTAAAATAAATCAACCACGCTGACAGGAGAAGCAAATTCATGCATTAAAGTCCGTGAGAGAGTGGTTGTTAGCAGTAGGAGAAATGAGAAGACAAAATAGATAGGCGCCTTGCTCACGAAACAAACCCAAAGCTGCATTTATTCGGACTCTGCCTCAGATCCTGATGAATTTCAGTGAAAACAGTTTTCAAGTAGGTGATTCAAGCGGAGTAAGTCAGAGAAGGCATTCAAAGGCATGAACTCGGAGAGTTTATGACAGAGATGTGCAATGTTACAGATTCACATACATGACCATATGAGGGATCCAGCCTTCTTCGTTTGCCTAAACTGATTTCACTTGCAGATGTTCACAAACACAGACATTTAATAACAGACCAAGAAATCAAAACTACAGACAGACAAGAGTCCATTCCTCCTTCATGACTGGCATCATAATTGTACTCTGACAACATCATGGAGGACTGACCTGTCTGAGTGTCACTCCTAATCAGACTTTATTCATCAGTGCCCACACTAATATCTACTCTTGAGTAAGTAGCTCAAGAATAACACAGTTCTTGTGAGGGGTCCTCAAAATTGTCAAGCCGAGAGAGTTGTGTGCAGACCACGTAAATCACAGACGATTAAATAATCCCACAGTGAAACGAAATCACTTGATGCACAAATTATATTCCTATCCATATCTAAAATTTTCAGCCGCCATTGTGCAATTAATAAGACTATTTAAAAATACTTTTCAAGCCCAAGAACAGCAGTTAAGTTACATATGGACAGCAGAAGACGTTAGAAAGATCTGCATCAAAGATGAGCCAAAGCAGATTCATCAAGAGCCAGGTATTTAATGTTTTTTTTTTTCTTTAAAGAAAAAAAAAAAAGATGAGTCAAGTTCTTAAGCAGGGGTCCCGTTACGTCTTGTTAAAAGCCAAGATAAAACTTAATTATGGAGCATGAACATGAATAAGTCAGTTTGATGTTTTAAGAATGGTTGCTATTGGCTTGGCACAAATTAAGAAAAGAAAAAAAAGTCACATTTTATCTCTTCTTTTGTTCATTTGCCCGGCAGGAGACGAGGGAATAAAACGTACTTGGAGAAATTTGTAAGGACTCAAGGAAAGACAGCTGTGCTGCAAAATGAGTAATATAAAGTGGCAGTAATTTCCTACACACACTAAAATTAAGGATTTACAATAAAGTAAAAGTTTATTTTCTTTTAAAGTTGTTGCTGTTGTGGAATAGGACTAACTTCTCCTGTTTTTGCAATAGTAAAGGTCAATAAAGAAACGGTAAAGCTTCTTTTATATGCATTTACAGAACTGCAACAACTGCTGTTATAGCAGCCATTTAGACTTTCCCAAGTCATTTCTCACAGCTAGGAATGTTTAAAACTCAAAATGAACAAGGTTTCAATGTGGCAGGGGGAAACATTCATGGGTGTGTTTTCATTACATGCTCCTTATTTCTGGCGGGTGTTTTAGTTTGATCATCTCTAATGCGTGTCTTTAAGTTGCTCTGCCCATTTTAGCATTTGTGTTTTACTATTCTGTGTGAAATCAAGCTTAATTTATTGTTTGATTGATTGGTTGATTGATTAAAGCTACAACTGGCTGACAGTTTTTCTGAATTATCCAGTAGCACAAAAAAGTTTCATTCTTTGAGGTCTGCCTGTAGCTGTTTGACTGACAGGAGGGTGTAGTGTCACAATTCACACTTTTCCTGTCTTACAGCCACATCAGCAACATGTTGCTCTCTCATTCCTGGTTATAGACAAAGTCTGCTCTGGTAAAGCCAAAGGCCAATGTCTTGAAAAGGTATCAGAACGTGGCCTAGTTTATTGGTCTGCTAATACATTCCCCTACCTATCGCTGGATGCACTTTTCTTTTGACAAATGCTCTGAAATTAAGCCTCTTTCTGTTTTGCAAATTCCTGAAGAGATAAAATAAGTTTACTGCAGACAAATAACCAAATGCTATTTCAGTGCCATACGATTTCTCTTCAGATAAAGTTAAAACTATGCCTTTTTGTTCTCCTTCTGCAGTCTGAGTTAAAGCCTCTCGACAAACTAGAGCTTTGTTTAATTAAACTGCAACGCAATCTGGTGCCTAAAGACATAACCAAACAATTCTGAAGTTATACCAACAGTGGTATTTTCAGATGGCTTCAAAGCTACAGAGAAGCATGAGATTTCTCTTTTGCTCTCATGTCACCGTGTTTCTATCGACTGAACTTTTGGTGTCCAGGCTACGTGGAGAGAAAACAGAAGAGATACTGCAACGACAGCTGTTCACAGTGCATAACCTTCTGCATTTACACTTCCACTTTGTGACTCATTTCAATCACGATAACAAGCTGCACAGCAGAAAATATTTGTTAAGGACACTCATGATGTCTGCTGAGAGGCCTGGACACTGAATAAAGCATCGGAAAAGGTCTGGCAAAAAATAAACACCGGCAAACTCAAATATGTTTATGTTGATTTTCAAGTAAGGAAGAGAACCAGCCAGAGCTCACCTCGTCTACACCTTGACCCCAGACACCACTTCTTGTATCATAACCATAAACTTCAATGTATTGTGTTTGGGTTTTATTTATATTCAGTTTTCATTCACACTCATTTAGTATGAAACCCAAAAAGTTAAATTCAGTGGAACCAACTCTGTCCAATAGCTAATACACAGAGCCTACATGGTCTTACATTCCCCACCATCCCAGGCTGCTTTTACATCCCAGATCGG